CCACGTAAAGTGAGGGTTGACTGTACGTACTGTATTTCTGTAATTTTCCTATTTTCATCATATTTTCAGCCGGACACTCCCCTTAATGAAGAAAAAATAGTTTAAAGTGAAATCTAAAGGAACTTAACAAGCCTGAAAATGAACAGTGAAGAGAAGTGATTACTGTACCTACATTTACTTTTTTCTTTTTTTTTAATATGGCCTCCAGCCTCCCCCAATAGCAATTCCTTTGCCACCATTTTATTACCTGAATATTAAATATCCTTATACATAAGTAGCTATCCTAGCTGTGTTGAGTAAGTTGAGCCGCAGTCCTATGTGGCATTCAGTGACTGTAGCCTCATAGTCAATATCTGCAACTGTTGTCAGCTTTGGGGACGATGCTCTCGATCCCCTTAGGCGAGCAAAGCCAACCTAAGGAGAGAGAAGGACAGTCAACATCTCATCCAGGCTGTAACATAACTTCTGGGCTGCTGCTTCTGTTCGGATATCACCTCTGCGAGTCTGGTGTAGAAGCATCTTGCACTTGGTCCCATCCCACCAGAGGTTGTGAACACTAGAGGAGTGAAGCTGCCTTATTCAAAGTTCTGAATTCTCTCCCCGTATCCCCTTATCTTGTCGTTCTCGTTCCTCTTGTGTGAAGCATCGAGAGCTAAGTTACAGTGACATGCGGCCATGGGATCAAAAATTCTGATGTCGAAGAAAGTTCGCTGTCCCCGCGTCCAGAATCCCCAACCACTGATGTCAACAAGGGCTTCGCTGGATGTGTTTGAAGTCCTATGTTGGAAGATCTCACCGTCCAATGGGAGGAGGGTCGGTTCTACCATGACATCACGGCAGATTTCCTTCAACATAATTATTTGCTGTGAGATCCCTACTTCGTCATGCCTCATACATATGAAACACCCTTTCTTGGACACCAAGGTGTGATCGACGTCATAGGAAGAGCCACACACGAATTGGGAGGGCAAACCTTCTACTGGCCTACCGTACCTTAGAGAGTTGGCATCTGTAAATTCTTGTTTATTGAGACTGAAACCATTTGCCCTCATCAGTAACGTAGTTAACCAGTTCAAGGCGCCCACCTCCTGTGCTGTAGCTACTTTTTTTTTTTCAAATTCTCTGGTACTTGCAGCAACAGTTCCTGCAACTTATCACGTTGGCCGTGCTGTCGTTCTGTCATAATGCACCTTCGAATCTTGTTTACTTCACTGGTATCCATCTCCCCTGTTGCGTTCTGAGCTATTATGTGATCCGTGAGGGCTGCCGTGAGCTTAACTGAGTTTTGATGTTCGGTAGCAGCAATCTCCTCTGGATTGGTCAGTCCCATTCCTCCCAGTCTCGGTGGTAGTGCAGAAAGTGATCTTTCTGCTGGGGTTAAGTGAGGGTTTTTCACTAATTTGGGAAAGAAATTGATGCTGATAGTGTCTTCCAGAGGGTGGAGGAGGGGTCCGATATCAGGGATAGTGCGCATCAGGTAGTTCCAGCGATGCTTGACTCCATGGGTGAATGCCGCAAAAGCCGCATGTGGCTCTGTGTTAACAATCTCAGACAGAGCTCGGGGTTTCCCTAACCCATTCATTCAACTTTCCCGTTACGTACTCGGTCTTGAAGTCTATCGTGCCAATTACGGCGCGTAGGTGTCTTTGGCCATCCTTTGTTATTTTGACCTCACTTCCACCGAACACCTCCATTGCCCGTTCATAATGTTCTGGGTTCACAATGAGGAAGGACTTGCTGGAGTTTGGGTGGTACCCTATTTGTGAGCCTCATGATGTTACCAGGTCCCACCACTTTTCCTGCTCCTGTAAGGTCATCAGCATACGCCACTTGCTTGACCCCAGTTGTTTCAAATTTTATTGAGTGTTGGAGCACGGATAGGCCTATTGCGTACATTGCCATTGCAACAGGGTACCCCTACGTTGTTCCCTCTGTTGACTGTAGGATGGAATCCCCTCTTAGAGCCTTGTTGGTTACTAAGGTCTGATGGATTCCTATAGGAGTTTCAACATACATTACAAAGTTTGGACACTTGATCTTGATGTTGTGCAGTGCGGCCTTGCCGTTAAGTATGTTGAATGAGTTTGAAGCATCCACCAGGGGAACGGCCTCACAATCGCGCTGCTCAAATATCGTTCTCATGGCGTGAATGGCAGCCTCCCCTCCAGCCTGGTGGCCAACACAAACTTGCAGGTTCCCTGCAGCTGCCCTGACATCATCCTTTACCACCTCCATTATGCATTTTCCAATGATCCGCCTCAACACTTCCCCCACTCCTATTGGCCTACATCCTGGATTCTTATCCAGGGGAATGAGGCAGCAGGCTGTCAGAGCATGGAGGTGTTGGCAGCATGAGGATGCCAGCTTTCTTGCAAAGACGGCAATGGCCGTACAGAGATCACTTGCTTCGGGGCCAAACTTGTTAGTGCTGAGGATGACTCTCCAACCGTTTGCATCCAGACCTGAAAGGCCGGCACCTTCCTGAGTCTTCAGTGCCTTTTTCCACACCATCCCTCCTGTTATTTTCTCAAATGGAACAGCATTTGGTGGGATAAAGCCACCCTGGAACTTGATGCCTTCATCTTCACTTGCACGGGGATGTTTTTCTTTCAGTTGTTTTAATGTCTCTCTGTTTATTGGCAGAACCCCACCGGAGGATTCCTCTGTGAGAAATCTTACCACCAAAGACACTTTTCCCACACGCATTTTGTTTCCAAACTTTCTTGCAATGTCATCGGTGTTTTGCTTTTTTGTCTACTGTAAGTTTTAGTCTCTCCTGCAGTGCTCTTGCTTCGCATAGGAGATCATCAAGGGCACCATTCTGCCACATTGTCAATCTTCTCTTCATTGCTGCCGCATTTTCTTTGTGCTTAGTCTTTGTGTGTGTCCTCTGATGGAATAGATGTGGTATTATTGACAGTATTTGAAGAGCTAAAGGGACAAGGAAGCAGTCCCGAGTGTACTCAGTTATAAGGCGAATCATCTCCCGTATGATTTCTTTGGTGGCCGCACACTTGGGTGGTTCAAACAGGTTAGCTGGCTACCACCTGACAATTTCTGAGTAAGTTTCTTTAACCCATATGTCAGCATTTTCCATCGACATGCCATTCCACTGTGACGGCTATCTCTCATTCACCTCGTGGACATCTGCTACTATTGGAGCAGCATTTATAAGTACTGTACTACATTTTCAGGTTGAGTAGACTCACTGCTATCATTTAGGATATCGTCGGGCGGTTGGGTCCCGGAGATATCCACTGCGGCCTCCTGTGTCAGCTCCCTGCCTTGTGGGTTTCGACAATTGTATCACTTTCTACAAACCACAGGTCGGTTGTTTCTCGCACACTCACAGCTAGTGCAATTTTGGTACTGGCTAGCACAGACACAGCAATGTCTGCTACCCGGCATAGTGTTCTGCACCTTCGGCGACAGTTATATCCACCTCCGACATCTGCTTTGGTCCCATACATAAGAAGGAACTAGTTCTTATGAGTAAAGGGCAGAAAGGTGACAGGCTGGACTGCTGTGTCCGGGTAGTAGAGGCATACGTGTTCCCCCTGTGGGCGACAATCCACACATCAGAATAATACACTGGGAGCAAGAATTGTCACACCTAACATTTGTTCATATATCCTTGGCAGACATAACCACTATTTCTATGGTCGCACTGATGTAATATTAGTTATATATACTCACTTGGACGGCCGACACTACATGAAATGATCGTTACTTGGGGGGTGGGGCGACCGCAAGCGTGGGGCACTTGGCCCCATAAGGGCGAGAGTCTCGATGCCACCCCTGCCAAATTAGGCCTATCGACACTAGCACTGGCAGCTGGCACCTGCAGTAGCCAACCATCCAAATACTCACAAAGGCGCTTGGTGATCGCCGGTGAACACACGGATTATTTGCGATTAATGCCGTAATGGGAGAAGAACCTTTAGTGACAATGCTTAGGGTGAGATCTGATATTCACCGACACACTGTGAAATTCCCGCTCCCACACTCCTAATATGTCCCCTCAAAAAACACTTTAGATCAGGGAGGACACTCCACCACACCCACGCTGGCCCCTACTAAAGCTCAACAAGTAACTGTATCTGCTACTGTACAACAGGATTACACACGCCATTGCAGTGCTAGATAACGAATGAGTACAGCTATTTTATTCCTTTTGTAATATATTTACTATGTCCTTTTATTCCTTTTACAATATTTACTATGGTGATGCTCTTGAGTTTGAGATGTGTATTTAAAAGAGTAACTCTCATGCATCCGAAAAAACGATTATCCGGCACTCAATTCCCCGTGCCCTGAGTGTACCTGACATATTCGTGACTAATCTGATAGTTTTCATTTAATTAGGGGTGTGGTAGCTGAGTGGGTACTGAATTCACCTCCTGTTCTGAGGAAGTGAAGGAATTTAGTATACTGCCTCCTTGTACAGTACAACAAAGGTTTAGTATTCAGTGAGCTGTATACACACACCAGCAGGCTTATAGAACTCACTTTCACAGTGAACAATATCAACAGCTCAAGCTTTACAACACATCAATGGTTTCATAAATATATTTACCGATACTGTGCATAAAGCATCAAGTCTCTTAATTATATACTAAACAAAATCTTCCACAGGGAGATATTAGTGCCTGCTGTCAATAACTCCTACTGCATGAGTTTCATGTTACGTAACAAAGATGACAGATTTATGAACATGTTTATTTATAAAAAAATAGAAAAGATAAGTACTATAGTATAGGTATTCTTCATTGATGAGGATAACATAACTTGTCCATCCAAATTAATTTTCATACAGCCTTTCAGGCTGAAACCTGGTCTCCTCCTTCTACAATCCCTAGTTACAATATTAGCACACACTACTACCTCAACACTCGCTAGGGAAAAGATCCTGGGACATCCGCGAATGTAGAATTTCGGGTATAAAATTCCTCAATATTCTAATATTATAGCTTACCATAAATTAGGGACAAAAAATTTAATGAGAAAAAATACTTTATTTAAGCCATCTAAATACTACACAGGTACAGTTACTTTATACAGTTGTATTGTGTGTTAATCAAAAATAAATTAAATGAGAAGCAAGTAGATGTGGGAAGTCAACTGGATTGCAGTAGCGGTGACTCGTCGTCTGCTGCCTGCCTCACATGGCCTGTACATTGGTACCATCCCCACTGTGCCATCAACACACACACACACACGTACGGCTGCCACACTACACTGTGAACGAAACATACGTACATACTGAATGTTATGTTTTCTTTTAACAAACTTATGACTGGTAAGAATACATAATTTATCCCAGTCATAAGTGTAATATCAACCTTATGGGAGCAAAATAAATATCAGTGTTACTTATGTATATAAAGTGTACGGTACTTTTCTTACCTCATAATGGCTGCTGTAGAGGCCTCATTAATTATACTGAAGGTATTACTGCTCCTCCTTTAAGGCCTCTCGACTGGGATCATCCACAATGCCTGATGAAGGGCTGGCAGGTGAGTAATTCATTACGGTGGAGCGAAGGGGAGAGGCAGGTTGTGAGTGTGGCAGGTGTGATGCAGACGACACCAGGCTGGTTGGTGAGGAGAGAGGAGGGAGTGGATCTTGGCGTTGAAAACATTATTATTGGCATTTGTTTGGCTTCTTTTTTTAGTTCTTTATAAATTTCTTGATAAGGTTGTAAAACATTCTCGGCATCCTGCTTTATTTTGATGCTTAATTCCATTGACGGGTCATAGTCGTAAATCACCTGTTAAGTTTTTGGCACACCTGACTCATGTCCTCAATCCATACACTTAACACCTTGTCCATCTTCTCCATACCTTTATCAAGTATCTGATGTGTAACTCTAGCACTGTGTGGTGCACTATGAGCTACACTACTTCTAATTTCCTTGTCTTTCATCTTTATGGAACCAACAGTTGACTCATTCACTTCAAACACACAGCCAACCGCTGATGCACTCATGTTGGCTGATGTCAAGTTTATCTACCACTTCAATTTTCTGTATGTCATGACTTTCTTTACTCTATTTGCATCAGATGCACTACCACCAGTTAATGGCCTTTTGGGAGCCATGACAGTTATAATTAACGTTAGAATTGCTCTCAGACGAGACTGGCAGGAGATGCGGGAGAACTCTCAGACAACTGAGATGAGACTGGCGAGTAGCAGGAGAGGACAGTCGCACAGGATGCAGCATGACACCACATCATGGCAGACGCCCGTAGTTTTTAAAATAAGTACCTTACCTTTTTATGCTATTGTAATAGATAAAAACCTCTGAAGTTGTTTTGGGGATAGTCAAATTCACGAGAGTTGAACTCGCATATGTTGAGGTACTGGTGTACTCGGCAGCTAAGGGTTATTCTTCTTCTCAAGGACATAATAATGTCTAGTAAGTAAGGTTTGTCCTCAACATAGTGTACTAATTTCTTCCTTGAGTTTTGTCCATTATATTATCCTAAAAGCATGATACATGCCCAACCAAGTCGTGGGATAGGAATATTTAACCTCACAACAAAAAGGAAAAGTAGATTAGATATACTGCATTAAGAAAATCAATGTTCAAAGAAAATTCACTTCTCTTCAATTCATCTCAGTGAGAAAGAGAGAATGAAGACTCCCACGCTGCTGAAACAATTCTCTATTTATAAATTTTGCTCATTACAGAGATCTATCAGCAAATGTTTTACTGCCTTTCACTCTTCCCCTAACATGAACAATTCTTCTCCATCACATGTGGTCTATTTTCAAACTCAAACACAATCTATGAACATATCCTGGTCTTCAAAAGCTCATATGCAGAAGAGAGAAATGCCAGAAATTGACCTTTCTACTATGGGGACAACCAACTTTGAAATCAAGAGCATCAATAAAAACATTTTATCTATATTAGTATCAAGACACAGAATTCTTTGAAAATCACCAAAAACAATGAGCCACAAATTATAGACTGGTGGCCTATTAAGAACAATGAATCAAAGATCCCACAATAGATTTTAAAAGTGAGGTGCACATGAGTCTCTTGTTGGTACAGTTGCAGAAATGTGCTCCTGCACCCCCTATGGTAAGCTGTGTCTCCAAACGGCAATGTCACAGTAGTAGTATCACTATTTATGAATGAATGGGTATTAGTCATGTAATGACAGATGTGGTTTGTGGATAGGTTTGCTATTGGTAATATAGATTGGCTGTTTGAGGACACAGGTTACCACAGGGGGAGTAGGAACACATTTCCATAACTATTCATAATTCCTTTAATCAACCAGACTTACTAAATGAGAGTTTTATAAGCATCAGTTATCAGCACAAAGATATATACTAACCAGAAAATTAAAATCAAGTAATTTGTAAATTAATAATATAATGAAAATCATTGAAGGAGAAACATATCACTTACTGTCAACAGGTGTCCCTATAGCATTGCAGATAATGAGCCCAAATTGTCCTGATCCATCATCTGTGCGCACTGCCAGTACACAATGATCCCCAGATGAAGCCATTCCCATTAAATATTTGATGTGCTTGATGAAGTGCTGTTCAGGAAGATATTTTTATTAGAATATCAACAGAGCCAGCACCTTCTAGGTACAGGTATTTCTCTTTGTTTTAACAAGAGAAATACAAATACAGCACACTGTTTCTCACCTATTCCCCATGTTAGGTGTAAATTAATTGGACCTATGGTTAAAATAAGGTCACATTCAAGTCCCAACGTATTACCCAAAATTTCAATTAAATCTCCAAATAATTGTTATTTTCGCTTGAAATGTTAACCCTTTTGCTGTTCAATGACACTATTTGTATCAATATGCAGACCATTAGAAGTGAGATGTCTCCCATGACCCTGGTGCAAAAGATATTCTCTTTCCACAACTCATTTTCATCCATCCCATCCCATTCATAAACTATTTTGTTCTTTTATCACTTAGTCAGTTAATTTATCTTTATTACTCAATTAAAAAGGAAGAAGAAAATTTTGCATAATTTTACCCATAAATGGTGAATGAAAAAATAAATTAATAGAAAAATCTATGCATTTTAGATGACACAATTTGTATCATCGGCCGGTCAATGAGTGAGATTTGGACCGCACGAGCAGCCAGCAAAGGGTTAAGTAAAACCTTCCTGGAAAAATGCTCTAAATCAATAATAAAAAAAAATTGAACATAAATGAAGGATTAATCCTGATATCGTTTTATTGATTAAAGTTCATAGCCAGGCAGTTCCTGAAATATTGGGAGGCCTAATAGGGAGTCATTGAGTACTGTACTTGGATTAGGCCATTAGTGTATTGGGGCTGATCTATTAATCCTTAATTGATTACCCTTCCTTTAATCCCCCCTTCCCCAGGCACAGTCATGTGCAAGTAAAGTGGTTGCCCTTCTCCCCTGGATGGGATGGGGAGAGGAGAAAGCTGTCCTTTTTCAAAAGGTACCACAAATGCCTGCCTGAGAAGTCTAGTCCTTGAAATAAAGAACAGATAGTTCTAAAACACGTTAGACCTTATGAAATCCCCCTGCCATAAGGGCAGGTTAAACACACCGTAAATCACGTGGACGGTATTAATAACTTGTTTGAAAATATTTTTAGTTACTAAGTAGAGAAGATATAAGAGAGGGAGTGAAGTGAGCTATGTGGGTGTTTACCCTGAGCTACCCTGGTATTTGCTTAATAAACGATTCTGCAGATGGAGAGTGGCCGTCTACGCAAGGGATACACTGAGACTACCCGGTCAGACTACCTCTTATAGACATACTGTGAACAGCTAAAAACCTCTGCTGGCATTAGACTCGTAACACGTAAGTGTGATTGTGATGCATTAAATAATTTACATATATGAGAAATACTTATCTTATAATTACACATTCTTTAATATATGTCTACAATAATTATGTTAAGACTTTATATCATGTGTTAAGGAAGTGATTCATTGATAGCTAAATGTGGTTGTGTTACTGCATCCTGCTATGATTACTGTGTCTACAATAATTATGTTAAGACTTTATATCATGTGTTAAGGAAGTGATTCATTGATATGTAATTTGTATTGACAGGTTATGACCGAATTATATTGTTCGAGTCCATCGTAACAAGTTTCGCTATCCTGCAAGCCCATAGTCGCCTTAATTGCCAATTACACACTGGACAACAATTTTTCCAGAGATTAAAAGCAACAACAGTGAATAAATTACCAACGGTCATAAGACTGTCAGAGTGGAGCAAGATCTCAGTCACTCTCCATATTTGAATCATTTGAGTGGCCCTCTCCCAACACTTTGTTCAGTCAAACATTGGACCTCCATAGACACTTGCAGCGTGTTATCAACTTTGAATAAACGATGACTATTCATCAGGACTAGTACTCAAAGAAATTACAGAGGAGGTGCCAGGGGATCCATCTGATGTTGCACTAACCACTTGGACAGGATGAGAAACTGAAGCATTATTGTCTCCTTGGGAAAAGGACTTCACAACCCGGTCCAGAGCCAATATGTGCTGTACATTGTTAGTGGCATCTGAACTAACTTCAACAAGCGTAACCTAACCAACAGGGGGCAAAGGCCCCAGTTTACTTCTTTACCTTAAGAAAACAAATCTAATCTATATTTATATATTGATTTAGAGCAATTAGGAAAAGACCAACTCTTAAGTACTTTTTTGTTTTCTCATAAAGGAAATTAGCATATACCAGTCATTATGACTTGGGCAAACATCATGGTTACCACATAAGTGGAGCCCCAACTCAAGATGGGAATTCTTTAAACCATTTCCTGACAACTCATCTGGAATGCCATCTACCTGACTATGAGTCACATTGCACAAGGAAACTTAGTAAAAAAAAAAATTGTGATGCAATGGAAGCAATTACCAGTACATATACAAAATGGGGAATAATCCTTTAAAAATTGCACTTAGAATATTCTAACAGTAGAAATAGGCACTTTAGGGATGTGGGCAACTCAGTCTTACTGCAAAAACCCAACCACCCCCACTAAACAACCAAGATGTAGTTAACCATCTGTCAGATCTTCTGAAAACTTCCAATATGCAATATGATAGTGCATAAGAGAGGACATAATAACTCCTTAAAAGACATCTTTATGAGCATATCTGACTACCTCTCTGATAGAGTAACAAATGTGCTCTACCAAAACATAACTTTCCTGATATTTTTTTCCACATCATAAAGTACCAGTGAAGGGAACAAGAACATCCTCCCAGTAACCTTGGGCCAGACACTGTACCTAATAAAACAAAGCTGCATTACACTTTGTAACATTGGATCCCCATCAAAGCCCACTGTTAAACTACCAACCTGGTTGTTAAGCTATTTTAATCTCTCTTGCAACATGAACAACAAAATTTAAAATATAACATTAAGACTTAGGACTGTGTGGCAACTTGCCTCACTGGCAACTATCACCTAAAATAACCAACTTTTTACTCACTACTGTACAGTTAAGAGATATTATTCAAAAGTTTCCTACATTTCTGGAATATTGTCCCATTCACATAAGTTTGGGGTCCTAGGAACCCTGGGGTGTCAACCTACAGACTTGCTGATGCAGGATGTGAGTTGCCTGGTCAGTTGCATTTGTTATAAAATTTATGTTTTGGCCTATCTTATTATGCATAGCTAAAGAACAGTCATTCACTCACCTCATTGTTGCAATTATCCCAGAACGTAACACAAGCCTCAGAACGCTCAGGTTTAGTATATGTGTACACAACTGTGTTGGCAAAGAAGCACCATCGGTAATCAGGACGGATGTTAGCAAAATAGATAAAAGAGTCCACAGCTAATGCAATGCGAAGTGATCCACCTTCCCAAGAACAGGCAGTTATCTGTTTGCCAGGTACTTTCAAGGTTCGGAGATGCTGCAATGAAAATAGCATTATTTAAGAGTAATAAATGAGAAAAATAAACAAATGTGACATAAAAGGTCTACAAAATTTTGTCTGGATGCAAAGCTCAGTTCAAAAACATAATTTCCTTACTAGCGGCAAAAGCTTTTCAATCGGGGACCTGTGTTTGCTCTCACTCTTTTTAACACATTTTCTCATGATCTTCCTCATCCATCACCCAAATTAATACTACAGGGGTGTCGCATCTTACTGCTCATTCAACTTTACACACTTGGCTGAGGCAAAAAAACAGTGAGTGTATGAGCGTGGAGATAACAGCATATAAGAAACATGGCCATATAAAATGCACCCCCCCATTTCAGCAGGATAAACATTTATGTGAATTTTCCTCCTGTAGCCATAGTTTTCTTAAAATAATATATACAGTACCAGTAAATGTGAGGAATATATACAGTCATGCGCCAGTTAACGTCCGACCGAACAACGTCCGATCGCATATACATCCCCCCCCCCAAAAAAATAAAAAAATAATCCGTGACGCCTGCAGGACCACCACTCCACGAACCCCTAACGGAGACACGATGATCCTCCCCATACTGATCACATATTATGTGTTAAAGGAATATGCTTCCTTCCTTAGGCTATTTTTAAGCATTTGCCTCCAGGTGTATGTTAACCTACATCTATTGAGGATAAACTCTTTCACCTACAAATTGACAATAACACATTTGCTATAATCAGACATATCTAGTTGCCTCAACAATTGCAACCCCAGTTACAATTGGGGTTGCAATTTCAAATTCTGTGGCATTACTAAGAATAACAAAGTTTCTGATGCACTCTAAGATTAAGTGAGAAAACGGAGGACTCAGGCGTCCTGATGTGAGAGAAAACGGACTCGTATGATGGGGGACCAAATATAAAAAGCATAGCTACATGTTTTGTGGACTACAGTATTAAGCGTACCCTTTTCATCACTTTGTAATAAACCTAGCCATGCCTATGTGTGTTTACGATATTTACCATAACATTATATATACAGTGACCCCTCGTTTAACGAACACCTCGGTTAACGTAATTTCGATTAACGAACTGCCTTCCATAAGGGTCTTCAATTCGGTTAACGAAAAAAAATTCGGTTAACGAAGTTCTTACGAACCGACCTCAACATGTTTTCGCTTGCACTGACCGGGCAACCAGCTTTAGTATCAGTCCGCCAATACATTAATCGGTTCTAGGGCTTAAATTCCTTACTATTTTAGTAAATATCAAGAAGTTTATACTATTCAATAATTTTAAAAGTTTATTATTCAATTTTTTAGTCATTTTAACAATTATTGAACATAATTGAAGGTAAAGGGACTAGTTTAATGTGCGGCATCCAGCCTCTTAACACAGCAAACAGGAGTTAGTCTCTCTCTGTTTTCACTGGAGGTAACATCTTGCTTGAGACTCTCTTCAACTAAAGGCTTTTTTTATGTGTTTCCAAGCAAATTATTGGTAATTTTGAAATATATTTTACATATTGACAATATATAATGCAGTGCAGTGTTGATTTAAAGAAAATAATCTTGAATTACACCAAGAGAGCTAAAATTTTATGGGTGAAATGGCGCCATGGGGTGACTTCTCTTCCACCCCAATGCCTTCTCTTCTTCCTTCTCCTCCACCCCATTCTAAATCCCATCATCATCATCATCATCATCATCATCATCATCATCATCATCATCATCCAGGAGCCTTCTACATACACACCTCAAAGTAAGTGAACTTTTCAACCATTTTTGTTGAATTTAGGAAATTTTCGGTGAGCTGGAACCAATTACCCAAAAACCCATTGAAACAATGGTTTCGGTTAACGAACTTTTCGGTTAACGAACGACCTTCTGGAACGGATTGAGTTCGTTAACGGAGGGGTCACTGTATATATTTAGTGGGTCTAAAAGGTCGCAAAATGGGAAACTTAGGGTTGGGTCTTGGGTGCCTGGAACCAATTAGAATAAATCCCATAGGTTCTGTACTTTCGTTATCGGCGGGGTCCCAATTAGACGCGACAACCAAGGGATGACTGTACTGTACTGTATATACTTGTGACACTGGCCAGTTGCTTCTGGTGTTATGGTACAGGGGTACCAAGTGACAGCACTAGGATCCCGCTTCCTCTATCAAAGAATAAACAATTAAAATTTAAATTGAAAAAAAAAATTCAAATAATGGGACATAGCAAACTTAAATGGCCCTAGAGCGGGCACAGTCGCATATGCATCGCGTATTCTTATAGATTGTGCTGCCAGGCATACGTTATCTAGTGAATTTAGTCAATATTGTACAGTAACAATGGACCTAAGTGCAAACCTGTATTGTACATGTACTAAATGATTACGGTACTAAAATTGTTATGTCTATTGCAAATATAGCTTGTTTACACAGTACAGGTATTCAAATAAATTACTATCTTACAAGAATCCAAGCTATGTAAGTTATATTCACCCAGGTCGCTTGGGTGGCAAATTATGAGAAGAGCTTTGTCAGTCTTAAGTAATGATAAATAAACACCCAGGCCTTCACCGCCAACTGTCAAATCCTATCTCAAATAAATAAAGACACTGTCACCTCACCTCACCTCACCTCACGCTCGGCTGGCTACCTCCCTCCCTGTGTTCCCAGACAAAAGATTGGTGATTTCTTTATGTTTATTTTATATAATATCTCAGACTAAAGTTAGGATAATATAATTTGCATTGCTGAAATCTTTGCAAGACAGAGATTATTTTAAATATAAGCATCATATATTTTGCTCAAGATATAAAGAATGTAGTACATTAGTGTACAATACTGTAGTACATTTTATAAAAAGTTTTTCAACTGTATTTTTGGGTAGATTTACATATATTTCTTCATTTATTTTCACCCATTTACATGCACACACCATACTAAAAGAAACCTAAAAGAAATAAATGACCTTAGTGCAAAGCTGGAGTGCACATGTACTAATTTGATTACGGTACTAAAATTGTTGTCTAGTGCGAATTACAACATGGTTATATTCAAATAAATCAGTATCTTACAAGAACCCCAGCATTGTTAATTATATTCTCCTAGGTCATATCACTGGCATTTTAAAATGAGAGAAGCTTAGTAGGACTGTATAATAAACACACAGAGACCTTCGGCTCAAACTTATCACCTCAACCCCCCCATCCCCCTACCCCCCAACCCCTCGCTGGCTGGCTGACTCCGTCCGTCCCTCCCTCCCTTCCCCCCCACCCAGCCAGGGTTTTAGGCTTACAGTTTTTATCTTATATAATATCTCAGACTAAAGTTAGATTATAATTTGCATTGCTGGAATCCTTGCAAGACAGCCAATAATTTGAATATAAACGTCATATATTTTGCTCAAGAGATAAAAATTGTTGTTCATTAGTGTACAGTAGGGGGCAGTGAATTTTTGCTCAAAGCTGCACTCTTCAGGCATTATTCCTTATACATATCTAAGACTCCATGCCAAATTTGAAGCTGATATGTCGAGGTTTAGTCTGCCGCATTTTCTACTGAAATTTTTAAATTTACCTACAGTACTAGCCAAACAGCAGCTGTGGCGGTGCAATGTTCTGTTCAGTGTTTATCAACTTTTTTTTTCATATCTATTGAGGAAAGGTTGAGAAAATTGTACAGTAGAGGAATTGAACTAAATAAGAACAAGAATGTAGGCAAAAAAGCTGCATTTCAGGTAGAAATGAAAGAGTTGTTTGATATCTGTAGCTGTTATTGTCCCCTTGCCTCCTGTCAGGATGTGAGGTGCATAGTTAAGGAGTGTGACGGATATCACCTGGCATGTAATTGTGTTATAAAAGTTCCCAAACGTGAGGTGCAGTTTCTCCTTGACCAGCGAGGTGATAGGAAGATGAAGATTGCAGGGGTTGACATGAAAGTGACGAAGATGTGGGACAGAGTGACGGCAAGAGAGAAGCATGATGCGGACAGAGTTAGGAGACAGCTTGAGCAAAAACATAAATATCTGGTAGCTGGAGATATTCCTTATGTTGAGGATAATTCAGATGATTCAAGAGATATTCCTCTCGTCAATACTGATGCTGATTTTGTCCCTGATCCAAGGGCTCTGACAGACACCAGTTCACAGAACCGGACAAGACTCCCTACACTGGTTGCCGCTTGTGACCGATACTTGATTAGTGATTATGCTGGAGCTGCCATTGCTACTGCCACCTTAACTGACTATGGCATTATCACAAAGGATGACAAGAGTCAGGTTATTGGACCACATAAGCTGCGGGATGCGAGACAAAAATACCGATTTAAGAGGCAAGAAATTGAGATGGCTAGTTTAGATAATTTGACGTCACTCTATTTTGATGGTAAGAAGACCGCCACTCGTGTGATGATAAAGAATGAGAAGACCGAGAAATGGAGTTCGAGGATGATGGTGAAAGATCATTATGTCATCATGGTTGAGCCTGGCAATGAATATCTCACACATGTGACTCCCAAGACTGGACACGGAAAGCAGATTGCCAAAACTATTCACGAGTTTCTGGTGGAGAAAAATCTAACCCAGCAGCCCATTGTGTGTGTTGGTTGTGATGGAACCAATGTAAATGTAGGATCAGAAAATGGAGTCATTCATCATCTTGAAATGTTACTTGGTCACCCGCTCCATTATTTCATATGTCAGCTTCACGGAAATGAGCTGCCTTTCCGCGCAGTTTTTTATCACTATGATGGTAAACCAAGTGGTCCTGAGCATTGGCGTGGTCCCATTGGAAAGCAGATCAAGGAGTCTTTGTCTGAGCTTCCAGTTGTCGCCTTCCAGCCAGTCAGTTTCCCTGATTTCCCTGTGTTTAATGATGAAGTGGAGAAAGATCTGTCCTGGGATCAGAAATACCTGTATAGGATTTGTAAAGGAGTTATCACAGGTGTTGTTGAAGATGACTTGGCTGCTATTGAGCCAGGTCCTCCCTGTGTGTCAAGGTGGAACACCTTATGGAGTAGAATCCTCAGGCT